AATCCCCTGGCATGTTTCTAACTCTACCATTTGGGGCAAGTCATCTTGAGCATGTCCAAAATTGTACATCTCCTCCCTCACTTATTCCCACGCTTATATTTAACGGAGATTACTTTTCAGTTAAATTTAAACACCTAAGAATAATTGTGTGTTAATTACAGAGTTCAACAAATAGTATTAAGTAGGACAAAAAAAAAAACACTAAAAGGGATAAACTATTAAGTTGTTCATCAACAGTCAGGACAAAGGCTGATCAAGTCATTGTTTCTTATAGTGTTCATTTCACTGCAACGGTTTCCGTTTTGGTACTTGGTCAGTTGTCACCGATCAGGGAGAACATATGATATCTGTCTCTTTGGCACTGGCTCATTTCACTCATCATGATGTTTTCCAAATTCCTCCATTTTGTTGCAAATGACTGGATTTCATTGTTTTTGACTGCTGTGTAGTATTCTATAGAGTACATGTCCCATAATTTCTTTATCCAGTCTACTGTTGATGGGCATTTGGGTTGATTCCAGGTCTTAGCTATTGTGAATTGAGCTTCAATAAACATTAAGCTGCAAACCGCTTTTTTGTTTACCAATTTCATTTCCTTTGGGTAAATTCCAAGGAATGGGATGGCTAGGTTATATCGTAGGGTGATATTCAGGTTTCTGAGGAATCTCCAGACTGGCTTACATAGTGGCTTTACCAGTTTGCATTCCCTCCAACACCGGTTTAATGCCCTCTTTTCCCCACATCCTCACCAGCATCTGTTGTTGGTAGATTTCTGTATGTGAGCCATTCTAACCAGGGTGAGGTGAAACCTCATTGTGGTTTCGATTTGCATTTCCCTGATTGCTAGGGATCCTGAACATTTTTTTCATATCTGTTGGCCATTTGGATTTCCTCTTTTGAAAAATGTCCAAAGGGATCACACAAACAAGACTGGTGTCTGCTAATACTAACTGATAGAATAAGAAAGGGAGAGAATGATCCAACATGGGAAATGGGATACACAGCAGACTCCTAGAATGGCAGATGTCCTAAACAGCACTCTGGCCTCAGAATCAGCCCATAAGGCACTCGGATCTGGCTGAAGAGCCAGAGTATTTTAGGCATGGAAAGCCAAGACACTCTGGAAAAAAAAAAAAAAAACAAACCCTAAATGAAAGGTCTCCGTGAATGAGATTCCAGTGGAAAGAACGGGTCATCAAAGAAGGAGGTACCTTCTCTGAAGGGAGGAGAGAACTTCCACTTTGACTATGACCTTGTAGGGAGGAGAGAACTTCCACTTTGACTATGACCTTGTCTAAATAAGATCAAAGTCAGCAAACTCAAGAGGCTTCCATAGCCTTGGAAACTCATGACTAGGGCCTATGGAGATTTCTGATACCATAAGCAAGAGTGTCGAATTGTTAAGTCAACAACAGGAGTCACTGTGTACTTACTCTTTATGTGGGATCTCTGTCCTTAATGTGTTGTACAATGTGAATTAATGCTATAACTAGTACTCAAACAGTATTTTACACTTTATGTTCTGTGTGGGTGCAAACTGATGAAATCTTTATTTAATATATACTAAATCAATCTTCTGTATATAAAGATAATTGAAAATGAATCTTGATGTGAATGGAATGGGAGAGGGACCTGGAGATGGGAGGGTTGTGGGTGGGAGGAAAGTTATGGGGGGGGGGAAATCATTGTAATCCATAAACTGTACTTTGGAAAATTATATTTACTAAATAAAAGTTAAAAAAAATCCCTTGAGGTCCTTGGCCCATCTCTTAAGTGGGTTGTTTGTTTTGTTGTTTTGGAGTTTTTGATCTCTTGGTAGATTCTGGTTATTAACCCTTTATCTGTTGCATGGTTTGCAAATATTTTTTCCCATTTTTTCCCATTCTGTCAGTTGCCTCTTCACTTTCCTGTTTCTTTTGCAGTACAGAAACTTCTCAATTTGATGAAATCCCAATTGTTAATTTTAGCTTTGACTGCCTGTGCCTTTGGGTTCTTTTCCAAGAGGTCCTTGCTGGTACGTATATATTGCAGGGTTTCTCCAATGTTCTCTAATAATTTTTTAGTGTCAGGTCATAGATTTAAGTCTTTTATTCATGTTGAGTGGATTTTTGTGTAAGGTGTAAGGTAGGGGTCTTGCTTCATGCTTCTGCATGTGGAAATCCAGTTTTCCCAGCACCATTTTTTGAATAGTCTGTCCTTGCTCCAGGAATTGGTTTTAGCTCCTTGATCAAATATAAGTTGGCTGTAGATGTTTGGATTGATTTCTGGTGTTTCTATTCTGTTTCATTTGTCTATCCATCTGTTTCTGTTTCAGTACCATGCTGTTTTGATAACAACTTCCCTGTAGTATGTCCTGAAATCTGGCATTGTGATGCCTCTGGCTTTGTTTTTGTTGTACAAGATTGCTCTAGCTATTTGAGGTTTCCTGTGTTTCCATATGATTTTCAGCATCATTTATTCCAGATCTGAGAAGAACGTCTGGTATTTTGATTGGTATCACATTGAATCTATAAATTGCTTTTGGGAGTATGGACATTTTGATGATATTGATTCTTCCAATCCATGGAGTATTTTTACATTTTTTGGTATCCTCTTATATTTCTTTTTTTTAACTTTTTGTAATTCTCATCGTAGAGATCTTTATCATCCTTGGTTACGTTTATTCCAAGGTATTTGATTGTTTTTGTGGCTATTGTGAATGAGATTGATATTCGAAGTTCTTTCTCCGCCATGGCACTGCCTGTGTATACAAAGGCTGTTGATTTTTGTACATTGATTTTATATACTGCTACTTTGCCAAACTCTTCTATGAGTTCTATGAGTTCCAACAGTATCTTAGTAGAGTTCTTTGGATCCCCTAAATAAAGTATCATATCATCTGCAAAAAGGGATAGTTTGAATTCTTCCTTCCCAATTTGTATCCCTTTAATTTCTTTTTCTTGCCTAATAGCTCTGGCTAGAACTTGCAGAACTATATTGAATAACAGTGGTGAGAGTGGGCATCCCTGTTTCGTACTAGATCTCAGTGGAAATGCTTCCAACTTTTCCCCATTCAATAGGATGCTGGCTATGGGTTTTTCATAAGTTGCTTGGATTGTATTGAGGAATGTTCCTTCCATACCCAGTTTGCTTAGTGTTTTAATTATGAAAGGGTCTTGTCTTTTATCAAGTGCTTTCTCTGCATCTACTGAGATAATCATTTGCTTTTTCTTCTGCAGAATGTTAATATGGTGTATCACATTGATTTGCTAACATTGAACCATCCCAGCATGCCAGGGATAAATCCCACTTGGTCTGGGTGGATGATCCTTCTGTGGTTAACATTTCCTTTTTCATCTCTGATTTTATTGATTTGGGTCTTTCCTCTTCTTTTTTTAGTTAGTTGGGCCAACTGCTCATTTGGCTGATTTTTTGTAAATTTTTTTTGGATTCAATCCTCTAGATTTCTTTTCTGATTTTAATTATTTATCTTCACCTACTAGATTTGGATCTGGTTTGTTGCAGTGTTTCTACATCCTTGAGATGCATTCAAAGCTCATTTGTTTGGTGTCTTTCCAATTTCTTGATGTGGACACCTATTGCTATAAACATTCCTCTTAGCACTTCTTTGCTGTATTCCATAAGTTTTGGTATGTTGTGTTGTTATCCTCATTTACTTCCAGAAAGTTTTTGATGTCTCTTTTGATTTCTTCTATGACCCAGTGTTCACTCAGGAGCACATAGTTCAGTCTCCATGAGTTTGCATATGCTCTAGGGATTCCTGAGTTGCTAGTTTCCAACTTCATTCCACTGTGGTCTGAGCATCTGCATGGTATGATTCTAATTCTTTTGAATTTGCTGAGACTTGCTTTATGGCCTAGTATGTGGTCAACCCTAGAATAGGTTCCATGTACTGCTGAGAAGAATGTAAATTCTTTAGATGTAAGATTCTGTAGATATCTGTTAGAACCATTTGGGCTGTAGTGTCAATTAAATCTGCTGTTTCCTTATTGATCTTCTGTCTGGTTGATCTATTTCTGAGAGTGGAGTATTGAAGTCCCTCAGTACTATTGTATTGGAGTCTAAGTCCCTTTAAGTCCCTTAAGTCCCTTAAGTCCCTTAACAAATCTTTTAAATAAACTGGTGCCCTGTAATTAGGTGCATATACATTTATAATAGTTACATCTTCCTGTTGAATTGATCCCATTGATCCCTTAATCATTATATAGTGCCCCTCTTTGTCTCTCTTAACAGTTTTTGTGTTAAAGTTTATTTTGTCTGATATTAAGATGGCTACACCAGCTCTTTTTGTTGTTTCTGTTTTCATGGAATATCTTTTTCCAACCTTTTACTTTCAGTCTGCATGCATCTTTGTTGGAAAGATATGTTTCTTTTAAGCAACAAATAGATTGGTTTTGTTCCTTAATCCATTCAGCCAGTCTGTGTCTTTTAACTGGAAAGTTGAAGCCATTAACATTCAATGTGACTATTGATAACTAGTAAATTTGCCCTCCATTTTCCCAATGATATTTTCTAATATATGCTTTGAACTTCCTGTGATCTTTTACTGTGAGGTTTTCTTCCTTTACCTTCTTTCATATTGATGGCCATGTTTTTGTGTTTCTGTGTATAACACATCTTTAAGCAAATCATCACATCTTCTATAGCTGCTTCCTGTTTATAAAGGACGTAGTGCAGGTCCTGCCTGTCCTATGTCTGGAAATCTCTGCCCATCTCATCTGACAAATTCTCTTTGTGAGCTGGAGCAACCTTTGTTACCACCAATATCTGTGTCCCCTGCATTCATGGTCAGTTACTCCCAGAATTTGTTGAGTTCTGGAACATATAAATTTGTTAATTTGTATGAGCAAAACTGGAACATGACCAGTTGTAAGTGAAGTGCCCCTTCAAGATGAAAAGACCACACCCTACAGACTCCCAGATAGTGGGTGGTGATACATTATAAACCCATTACCTTGAGTATAGAGAATTACAATAGAAGAACACATTAGGAGTTTTATTGTTAATAACAGAATCAGAAGAGGCAGGTACACCATGCCTGCCTTCAGGCGCAGCACTCTTGATGTGAGGAAAGCAAAGGATTTACTTTTCTTTTTGCTTAAGATCTCTGGCTTACAGGAATAATCAGGCATGTCTTTTGAGTACACCTGTGATGACTTGAGAGGTAGACGTTTAATCCTAATTTTACTGAGGTAGTCATGTTCAGTAGCACCTGGTAAGGTCCCTTCCATTTAAGCTGTAGCTGATCTGAAGAGGATCTTTCTATGAATGGCTTGTTCAGGGAAAGGTGCTGAAGTTGGTTTGTAGAGGGTCAGCTTTCAGAGACTGGGTTCAGGTTTGGCATTTCAGGCTGCTATGCACACAGGCTGTAGAGTGATCTCTGGAAAGACACAAGCAAAACATTTGCCCATCATTATGAGGGGATCAGTCCCCTTCCTTTGTTGGGTGGTTGAGATCCTCCATCAATCCAGAGGCAATTGGATTACACCTGTGAGAGGTCTCCAGTATCTCACTGCTGGTGGCTCTCCAAGGGGTGAGACCTGTAAGAACTTTAAGGTGAAAGAAGCAAAGTTAACACACTCATAGTGGGGGTACCATACTCTCCCCTCTGTTTTTTAAGCATAGTCTTAAGGTCCTGCATGGGAAGTTAGTGCACAGTGACTCCTATGGTTAATTTAACAATTCACACTCTTTTGTGTGATGTCAGTGATCACCCAAGGCCCTTGACATGAGCTGTCTAGGCTATGGAAGCCTTCTTAATCCACAAACTCCATCAATATTCAAAGAAGGCCAGAAGCAAAATGAAAGTTCTCCCTTTGAAGAGAGTACATCCTTCTTTGATGACCACTTCTTTCCACTGGGGTCTCACCCAGGGAGGCTCTCCATGTAGGCACACCTTTTTGCACAAGTGTCCTGACTTTGCACGCCTGAAAATCTCTTGTGTGCTTTTTAGCCAGACCAGAATGTCTTTAGGGATGACTCTGAGGTCACTGAATGTTACGTAGAGCAATTGCCATTCTATGAGTCTGCTGTATGGACTGCTTCCCATGTTGAAGCATTTACTCCTCTTTAATCCTATTAATTCTATTGATATGATCACTTTCACAATTAGTGCCTTCTATATGACCACTTTAAAACTTAATGCAATCAAATATGGTCACTTTTAAACTTAATCCAATATATATAATTATGTTAAAACTTAAGATGCCACTTTCACCATCTAGCCCAAGGGGATTTGGGATCCCATGGTGAAGTAAATCCACCTGTAAAATTATGATTTAAGTTCTCATTTTGGCTATGCTGTTACACAGAATATGTTAGTCACTCCTTTCATATGATATAAAAATCAAACTACATCTTGAGGAATCCCTCAGGACAGAGTCAGTGGATCATCTTAAAGAGAATAGAGGAATGTGGGAAAAAGTCAGGCTTGCCAGACTGCCTACTGACAATGTGAAATGGAATCTTAGCAAGTCGTTTTAACCATGAAATAATAGCTTATAAAATATTTACTGGAAGGTCCAATGCCTTCTATAAATTTTAAGAATACATGTATTTAAATGTATCTTAAATATCTAACATGATATGGCTTGTTTAAACAGCAAACAGAAACATATAAAACATTTTTAGTTTCTATCAACAAATTTAAAACATCTGACAAAGAGATTAGGTTACATGAATCAAATGTATCTTCAATTAATTTTAGCTGTTAAATATATGAACAATCTTTCCTTGATAAACCAATTAAGACAGAGCTCAAAATAAATTTTCCCATGCAGACAGACAATATGAGCACACACATAACACAACATACAAGATAGAACAATAAAGCAGTTTCAGTAATAGTTTCCTAAAATCTTTAGCTGTTTCTTATTACCAATTAAAATTACTTTCTGTTCTTGGTAACCTTGATTAACCATACTTTCTTCCAGTTGGAATCTGTAGTGTTATTGACTTCATCTGTTTACAGAACAATTCAAAACTATTGAATACAATAGAAGTGGCTGGAAAAAGTCCATCAGGACCTATAGGAGAGCAGCTAAAAACAGAACCAACAATGTTTTAGTTTAATGAGCAGCAAATTTGATATACAAAACTGTGGGTGGGAAAAGACTTTAAATAGCCATGTTTAAAATGATAAACTCATTAACCAAGAAGAGGCATTTGCTTACTTCACACAGTATTTTCAAAAGCACATGTAGGATTTTACAAAACATTTAACTCTTTTTTTTCTTTTATGCTTTTATTTAATGAATTTAAATTTCCAAAGTACAGATTATGGATTACAATGGCTTGCCCCCATAACGTCCCTCCCACCCGCAACCCTCCCCTTTCCCACTCCCTCTGCCCTTACATTCACATCAAGATTCATTTTTCAATTCTTTATATACAGAAGATCAGTTTAGCATACATTAAGTAAAGATTTCAACAGTTTGCTCCCACACAGAAACATAAAGTCAAAAATACTGTTTGAGTACTAGTTATAGCATTAAATCTCAATGTACAGCACACTAAGGACAAAGATCCTACATGAGGAGTAAGTGCACAGTGCCTCCTGTTGTTGACTTAACAAATTGACACTCTTGTTTATGGCATCAGTAATTACCCTAGGCTCTTGTCATGAGCTGCCAAGGCTATGGAAGCTCCCTGAGTTCACTGACTCTGATCATATTTAGACAAGGCCATGGTCAAAGTGGAAGTTCTCTCCTCCCTTCAGAGAAAGCTACCTCCTTCTTTGAAGACCTGTTCTTTCCACTGGGATCTCACTCGCGGAGATCTTTCATTTAGGTTTATTTATTTATTTTTTTTCCCCCAGAGTGTCTTGGCTTTCCATGCCTGAAATACTCTCATGGGCATTTCAGCTGGATCCGCATGCCTTAAGGGCTGATTTTGAGGCCAGAGTGCTGTTAGGAAATTTGCCATTCTATGGGTCTGCTGTGTATCTCACTTCCCATGTTGGATCATTCTCTCCCTTTTTTATTCTATCAGCTAGTATTTGCAGACACTATTCTTGTTTATGTGATCCCTTTGGTTCTTAGTCCTTTCATTACGATCAATTGTGAACAGAAATTGATCACTGGGACTAGTGAGATGGCATTGGTACATGCCACCTTGATGGGATTGAATTGGAATCCCCTGGTATATTTCTAACTCTACTGTTTGAGGTAAGTCAGCTTGAGCATGTCCCAAATTGCACATCTCTTCCCTCTCTTATTCCCACTCTTATATTTAACAGCGATCACTTTTCAGTTAAGTTTCAGCACTTAAGAAGAATTGTGTATTGATTACAGTATTCAACCAAAAGTATTATGTAGAACAAACAAAAAAATACTAAGAGGGATACATATTAAGCTGCTCATCAACAGTCAGGGTGAGGGCTGATCAAGTCACCGTTTCTCA